TAGTTTGCTTCTTTAATAATAAAAACTTTCTGACTCATGGAATAGAGGAAGGACAGTTGGCCTGAAAGCCCATGAAGGCTCTGGATAGCCCTCGTTAGAATTGGTTCATTAGATTGAGAACCATTTAATCATCTCCTCATATCTCACTACACTAAAAAGCAGTCAAAAGACTGCAACAGCAAAGATTCTCGCAAACTTTCCTTCACACACCCCAGACTCAATGCCGTAAGTACACAAAGGCTAATCATGTGATTTGCTAATGTCCATGGGTCTCCAGTGTGACCAGAGTGAACATTGCCCCCCCCTTAGCATTTATTCTATGTGGTACACAAACAAATTTAGAACCCAAACCCTGGAATATGGGTTTCTTGTTTAGAAGGACAACATTAGGAGATGGGGATTTGGCATGGAAGAACAGCAGATGAGAAAATGGTGGCTGACTGTTTCCATACTGCAGTTTCTGTGTTCCTAATAACCTCACTGTTGTGTAGTAGTGGTGAAAAGATTAGACTAAGACCTTGGAGACTTAGGTTAAAATCCCCCCTCTGCCATGAAAGCTTGGGGGGGGTGACCTTGGACCTATCACAAACTCTCAGCCTAACGTACTTGACAGACAAGAATAAAATGGAGGAGGGGATAAATGTGTTGCCAGTATCCTTGAGTCCCCATAAGGGGTAAAAATGGGATGTAAATATTCTAAGGCATCAGAAATGGTGCCAATGAAAATATTGCCATACAGCGCCATACATACATATAATTGAGGGATATTTGTATGATCAGAACTTTACATGGCTAGTTATTTATATTATGTACATCTACATGATTAGTGATCCATTGTCTTGTAAATCCAAATTATGTAAGAAGTGGCAAGTGTCAGCATGCAAAACATATTTTTAATGTCTCTGCTGCCTGAACTCATATTTTGGCACTGGATCCTACTGCTGGTGGCATAGCAGATCGTATATATACAGAAAATATAAGATAAGATAAGATAAATTTCATAAATTCTTTTATTTCCCTATAGCAAATTCAACAGAAAATTAATCTATCCATCAACACAAACTTCATTCTACTTGGATTTGGTGATCTCCAAGAACTACAAGTCCTCCTTTTTCTGGTTTTCCTTGGAATCTGTATATTTACTATGGTTGGAAATCTCATTATCTTTGTTCTTATTGTCACAGATGTGCACCTGCATACCCCCATGTATTTCTTCCTAGGGAACCTATCTTGCTTGGATATCTGCTATACATCAAGCATCCTGCCCAGATTGCTCTTTAGTCTTCTGACTGGGGATAAAACTGTCTCTCTTCATGGCTGCATTATACAATATTTTTTCTTTGGTACCTTAGCATCTGCAGAATGTTATCTCTTGGCTGTGATGTCATATGATCGCTATTTAGCCATATGCAAACCACTGAAATACACATCTCTCATGAATGGCAGGATCTGCCTTGGACTGATTACAGTGTCTTGGATGGGTGGTCTGCTAAGTAACATCTTCATAACATCACTGTTGTTGAAGCTGTCATTTTGTGGTCCCAATGAAATTGAACATTTCTTTTGTGACCTAGCCCCCATGTTAAAGCTTTCCTGCACAAATACCAACCTGGTGGAACTTGCCGTTTTCATTCTGGCCTCCATGGACACCATACCCCCATTTCTCCTTACCCTGATCTCATATGTATGTATTATCATCAACATCCTCCAAATGAAGTCCACAACCTCCAGACGGAAGGTCTTCTCCACTTGTTCCTCTCATCTCCTTGCAGTGACGCTTTTCTACGGGTCTCTGATTTGTGTCTATTTAATTCCTGAAACGAACACACTGAAGGGGCTTCATAAAACCTTCTCCCTGTTTTATACCATCTTCACACCCATGCTCAACCCTATTATATATAGTCTGAGAAATAAGGACATAAAAGTAGCCTTGTATAGGACTGTCAACAAAGCTGTCAGTGTGGTCCCATTTCCTTAGCTTTGTTGTGGTCATTACTGTGTATCTATTGAATTAACAAAAGCTACATCCATATCCTTGCAAAACATTTCAACATGAATGATATTGTACTTTGGGTTCCATAGAGTCAGCAGTGTGTAAAGCATCAGGTTGTGGAAACCATTACATATGGGAGCCGCAGTGAGAGACATAATAGAGTCATGCCAGAAACATGGAATAGCCAAGCAACAAAGCAGAGAACAAGGCTGAGATACCACTAAAATTTTGGGTGCTTTAAATACAGAAATATGCCATTGAATCATTCAACAGAAAAGGACCATGCTGCAATGGGTGATGATGGTAGAGCCAACCAGCTTTTCCACTGGGGTAAAAGGGAGGAAGGGCCCCTTTGAACAACAAAAAAAACATTGTACGTTGGGGAATCATGGACCCTGCATGAGCCACAGCCATGTGGGATGGAGACTGTAGAAAGGAAGAGAATTCAGTGAGACTGAGCGAAAAACAACAACATTGCAATTCGTCAGGGCCTGTAAAATGGGCCCAATCATGGACCCTGCATGAGCCACAGCCATGTGGGATGGAGACTGTAGAAAGGAAGAGAATTCAGTGAGACCGAGTGAAAAACAACAACATTGCAATTCTTCAGGGCCTGTAAAATGGGCCTGTTCTTCCAGGCCTTTGGTTGAGGCATCAGATGTCTAATCTACCTTGGCCTCCCCTGCTCACACTGGGTGCAATGTTTACAGTGCCTACTGCGATCTGCCCTGCTTAAAGAGGTCAACAGAGCTGTACACTGCATTCGTCAGGCCACACCTGGAGTATTGTGCACAGTTCTGGAGGCCTCACTTAAGAAAGGATGTGGACAGAATGGAGCAGGTGCAGAGGAGAGCAACAAGGATGATCTGGGGCCTGGAGACCAAGCGCTATGAGGAAAGGCTGAGGGACCTGGGGATATTTTGTCTGGAGAAGAGGAGGTTAAGGGGAAACATAATTGCTCTCTTTAAGTATTTGAAGGACTGTCACTTAGAGGAGGGCAGGGAGCTGTTCCTGTTGGCAGCAGAGGAGAGGACTCACAATTATGGGTTTAAATTAAGGGTGGGAAGGTACTGGCTGGATATTAGGAAAAACGTTTTGACAGTAAGAGTTGTGCAACTGTGGAAACAGCCGCCTAGGGAGGTGGTGAGCTCCCCCTCACTGGCAGTCTCTAAGCAGTGGCTGGACGAACACTTGTCAGGGATGCTCTAGGCTGATCCTGCATTGAGCAGGCGGCTGGACTAGATGACCTGTATGGCCCCTTCCAACTCTATGATTCTATGATTCTAGGATTCTATGGTCATCAGAACAGATTGCCATTCCCTACCATCTATTTTCACATCTTGCAGGAGGCACTGTGACCTGCCTTGAATAGTTGTCATCTTATTCCAATTAGCTTGAAATTTGGCTTGGTGTTTCATTTTAATGTTAGTCTTGCTCAAATGGTTTGTTTTGTTTAATTTTAATGCTTTAATGTTATTATGTTCTTTAATGAAGTGTTGTGACCCGCCCTGAGCCTGCCTGCGAGGGAGGGCGCACAGCAATCAAATAAATAAATAAAATAAGTTGAATATGTAATATGCTGGTAGTGCTGGGGAGGAGATTGTGTAAATAAGACACTCGTTCCTTGGTACTGACCTTATTTTCAACTTTATTTACCACCTAACACACACACACACACAGTACTAGGTAGCCTCACTTTTCATTGATATGCTACATTTGTTTTGGAAGGGACTTTTTCCCCATGCAGAGGCTTCAGTTACGTACTTCCACTCTTGCAGAGTTTAGAAGCAGCAGCCCCAGAGGAGTTTTGTGATATTAGCATCTGTTTGCGTGAACCACGTCAGTGTCTGAAATATTAAACCTCAGCAAACAGTCAGCTATCCATGTTTAATGATATGTAATGAGTAAAAGGAAAAAAAAACTGATATGATTGTTAGGATTTGCAATTTTACAATTTTCTCAACATTTTTGTGTGATAGCTCAGTGGGTTGTTTTGCTTCTCTTCTCACTAGGAGTGGCTTCAGACTTTAGTCCCCCTCGCCTTGAAAGAACTCAGTGTGATTTTAATGGCTCTCTCTTTGTCCATTTTGTTCTTACAGCCATTTTGTGAGGTCAAATCAACTGAGAAAGAGTATTCTGCTCAAGGTCAGCAAATAAATGGTATACTAGTTTAACCATAGGTCTCCACAGCTAAAATTCACTGCACTAAAAAATCATACAATGCAGTTGCCAGTGTTTGCCATGTCTACACTGGAAGTAAGGGTATAGGCTGTGAAGGGTAGAAATATAGCCTTATACACTCATGTTGGAGACATCTGATTGGCTCTGGTTCTCTGGTACTGGTCTTCTAGAGGGGTGCCAGGTCTCTTGGATCTTAGTCTTGGGTGTTAATGTTCTTTACATTTTACAATTTTACTGCAGGAAAACCCAGTACATCTTATCCTCCTGTTGTCCCAAATCCTATGTGTTTGTTGCAGATCTCTCCAAATAATGAAAGGTACTTTGCTATTTCTGGGGGGAAAGCAATTTTTGCATGTCTGATGTGTGCACAGTAAAATATAGCTAGCTTTTGAAGGTCACATGTTTCACATACACATACAGCTCTGAATATTTAAGAGAAGTTTTGAGGCTGCTAGTGATTGTACCAGGAAAATAATTCCTGATAAGGGATGCATGAATATGTCCTTTCTCATTTCTTTGTCAGTATATGTGCAGTCATACATAGCCATTACATATTAATAGGGCAATGGAAATATCAGGAGGGGCATTGGTAGTGCATGCTCCCAGTACACACAGTTGGATACCCAAAAATGCAATGTCTGTAATAGACTACTGCTGGAAGATTTACTGCATCTGTTTGCTCTGTAATTACCTGCCTTCCACTCATTTAAAAGCCAAGAGGAAGTTAAAGATTTGATGACTTCAACACTTCTTCAGGCTGATTAGTAGAACAGACCTAGGCAACTGAGTAAGAAATCGGCCATATCAACAACTTGATTTGATTGTTGGAGGATATATGCTTGGAATCAAAGCTCACCAACAGTTGCATACATCTGCCTTGGTGGAGCTCATCCCCACTGTGGTCTTGTGGCAGTGGCAGATAACTCTGCCTTGCCTATTGCTGTGTCCCCATCCTTTGCCAAAGGTTTGAAACTGGGATAGTTCAAGTTGGGTACTAGCCCCTTGAGGAGATAGAGCAACAATTTTTTTCATGGGAATCAGAAGATGATTATGGCTGGTCACTAGCTGGGTAAGTTACTTCTTTGCTATTATCTGTACCCTTTAGTCATGTCCCAGATTGTAAGACTTCTGCAATGCCATGCATAGTTTTTAAAAGGAAAAAATCGATGGGATCCAATTACCCTTTCTGATGCTTGCTTGAAGGCCTATTTTCTTCTATAAAACTTTAAATGTACAGTTCTAGTTGTATTATGTCTATACTAAGGAAGCCAGGTATTCCATTGCTTCTGAGTCATTAAGACTTTCTAGAATTAATTCTGGAAGTAGAGTAAGTGCAATATGTCACACCTTTCCCATCTCTCAACTCAGTTAAATATTTTACCTATTTCCAAAGAAGTCTTGATGTGGTCATATATACAAGTGGTTTATTAATCTGTTTTCTGCAATGTGCTCCTGTGCATTAATAAAACAGAAAGAAATCTGAACCCTCTATATATTCAGTCAGGTCAAGACTGCTTTCTTTCCCCCTGTGTTTTATCCATACAAATTGATCAGATAGAAGGAAAAGACATGAAGGAACTGAAGGAACTGGAACCAAATATGTTGAGGAATTCAACATAACCATTTTCACCAGGCAAGCTTATCTTGATCAAGCTTTCTTACCTACATGCAGGACAAGTTCCTAATCAAATCAACTTGATGATTTTCTCAAAATTCATCTTAGGCATAGAGTTGGGTGTCTTTGTGCTTGTGCAACAGCCACTCTTGCTACAGAGACAAGCAGATCATTTCTTGGGAACGTGGCAAAATAACCTGCAGTTTATGACCATGTTTGGTGTAGTGGTTAAGTGTGTGGACTCTAATCTGGGAGAACCGGGTTTGATTCCCCACTCCTCCACTTGCACCTGCTGATGTGACCTTGGGTCAGTCACAAGCTCTGGCACAGCTGTTCCTGAAAGAGCAGTTTGTGTCAGAGTTCTCTCAGCCCCACCCACCTCACAGGGTGTCTGTTGTGGGGAGGGGAAGGGAAAGGAGTTTGTAAGCCGCTCTGAGACTCCAAGTGAAGGGCGGGGTATAAATCCAATCTCTTCTTCTTCTTCTTCCCACCAGGAAAGGATGTTAAGCTGTATACCTATACGTCACCTGCAAGTTCTTGCTGAATTGTTTGTGCTTTAATTGGTTTAACTAGATTTCATATTTAAATTTGTATATGGCAAATGTTGTACCCCGCCCTGAGCCTTGTTGCATGGGGGAGGGTGGGTCATAAATCAAATAAATAAATAAATAATTTTAATTTAGCATTGACAATAAATAAATACATTAAGTAGAAGTCATTTTAACCAACACGGGAAGCAGTTTGCACCTTGCACCTTGTTACAATAGATATTCAGTAGAGTTTGACGCTTCTCTGTAGTACAACTTGATGCTTGCTGGAAGCCCTAAGACTTCTATTCGACTGAGGCAAAGGGAGACAGAGGGGATGACAGATTACAACCCGCTGCTGCTCCCATGCAACTTCTTCACCCCATCAATGTGAACTGCCTGCTCTCCTGTTCTAGAGACAGGCTTAGCAAGAATGCAGACAAGGCAATTATTTTACCCCCCATTCTCTCTCTTCACTAAGGAAAGGAGTTTGTAAGCAGCTCTGAGGCTCCAAGTGAAGAGCGGGATATAAATCCAATCTCTTCTTCTTCTTCGTGTTTGTGCAATGCATGAACTAAATTGTCTTTGTTATTAGAAAAATACTTGTCTCATGGAGTCATGGTCAGTTTCTAAACTGATGTACTTGTCAAGCACAGAATCACTTGTACTTCATCTAGATGATACACAGGTGGTGGTGTACTCAGATGTATCCAGTTTGGTGAACAAGAAGCTTCTTGACTATGGCAGCAAGCAGGATGTAAGCCGGACCTGTAGTTGACTGACCATCCTTGACTGAAACAAGGAGATGAGACAAATTATATATACATAGCACCCTAAAAAATGTGAATTGTTTAAAAATAGGAAGATTCTGAGTGTTGGTTTTTTCCTTACAATTCATTTTCTTAGCCTTTTCTGTTTATGGTGAGAAGCAAAAACCCTCCTCTCAGAGGCTCAGTGCTAAGTGCTTCTGCATAATATGAACAGATTTTATGTCTCTCTGCATTATCTTCAGATTTACTTTAAAAATGGAGTGCTTCATTGCAATGTTCCCTCTAAGCTCCACAGTGTTGTGAGCAGAAATTCTGCCTCATGAGCAAAAAAAACCTAGTACCATTAAAGGTGTGAGCGAGTCTACATTTGACTATCATGTAAATTAGTTTTTTAGCGGATTACTTCCATAACCTTGTAAAAATCTCACAATAAATTCTTTTAAATTACATTTAAACTATATTTTAAGAATAATTTAAACATTATAAGAGAAAACAGAATCAAGTCAAATCTCACCCACCCCTTTCCACTATATTGGTAGACCTGGCCCCCAGAGAACACAGCTACCTGCCCCTTTCCACTATATTGGTAGACCTGGCCTCTGGAGAACAGGTGTACCTGCCGTAGTCCACTATATTGGAAGACCTGGCCTCAGACTGTCATCCTGTGTCGAGCCCTAGAAAACTATGGACTATGCTGAGGGTTATGGGACTATGTGGGATGGGGCAGTAGAAAGGAGAAGTGGGCAACATTGAGCAGAAAACCTGACTGGATTCAGCCCCTGTGTCAGGAAGTGAATATTGTGATGTAAATCTCAACATGTATACTGAGTTCCCTCTGAGAGTTACTCAAGTCGTAAGTGTGCTCAGGGCTGGAGCTTTGAAATGTACCTATGAAGCTGCCTCATACTGAATCAGACCAGACCTCTCATGCCTTTGTTGCCCTGATTCAGGCAAAGAAGAAAAACACGTGGCCACAGGAGTTCACTGCTACAGGCCCCTTGTTTTAAATATACATTCATTGACCTGTCCATAAAGGAATCGGGAAGAAGAGATGGACACTGATGTGGCTGGGCAGGTAAAGTCGTCCTCTTTAAAAAAAGAAAAAGCAATGTGTTATTTTGACACCTGGACAAAGCGCTTCCCTATCATCCTGTACTTGTTTGTGCAAACTTTGGTATAGTCACCCATAGACTTGTCTGCACTTTGCCTCCCTGCTGTTCCATAATGACACCCAGTCAGGCATCTCACGCCTCCAAATGAGAGACAGTGCAGTCTGGCATAACTCCATGATGAGTTCACTACACAGACCTGGGAAAGAATACTCATGGAAGCCACTTTCTCATCTTCTGATGCTGATCTTCTTGGCTGGAGGCCACAGTGTGAAGATATTAATTGCTTTCCCTCCCCTGCTTGCTCATATGAGACAGTATGATGTGCTCCTAACCATCCTGTGTTTTTGCAGGGAACTACTAAAGTCCGTCTCTCTACATCCCTCTCAAAGGGTGAAAAAGAAGCTACTGATATTAGAAAGGAAAAGATAAAGGAGGCCCTTGCTGCGCATAAGATTCCATATGATTCGGTAGGATTCCTTTATGTCTGCCTCAGAGGAGCTAGAAATAAATTAGACAGGGGCTACTGTAAGCTCTTGGACAATTGGCTACATTAGGGGTTTGCTGCCTAATATGCAAAGGAGTTCCTGCTACAAAAAGAGCCCTGTAGGCACTAGAAAGCTTCAATTAGGAACCAAGTAGGACTACTTTTTGGACTCAAATGGACACAAACTTACTATAAATATTTGGGGGACACTCATTAGCTCTGCCCGGACATTTAAAACATGTACAATCATAGAGGAAGGGCATGTGCAGGATCACATTTGCTGGTTCTACCTGCAAGTCCTATTTTTTGAAGCTTCCCTTGGCACCGGGCTCTCTGTCCTGATATACACATTTGTCATTCATTTTAGCATTGCACAGATGGAACTAAGGGTTTCCTTCTTCAGTTTCTGAGCACAGTAGCTCTTTAGAGACCCAAAAGATTTTTGCGGGTATTTTTGCATTTGTGTGTGCATGCATGTGTGCCCGTGTGTATGTCCCTGCCTGGAAGTCATGGTGACCCCTTCTGGGGCCCGACCTACCTCACAGGGTGTCTGTTGTGGGGAAAGGAAGGGAAAGGAGTTTGTAAGCCGCTCTGAGACTCCTTTGGGTAGTAAAGGGTGGGGTATAAATCCAATCTCTTCTTCTTTGTCATCCAGGCTCACAGCTACAGTGGGGCCTCTAGGTGCCTGGCCCCCCGACTACCCACCAAGGCACCACAACGTTTGGGAAGAAGTGGGTGGGAGGTTCTGTGCACCTGCACTCCAAGCTGTGAATTTGTCCCTTTAAATGTTTTTTTGAGAAGTGGGGGCTGTGCACCTGCACTCCAAGCCACGAATTCATGGCTTGGAGTACAGACGCACGTGGCCTCCCCCCTTTCTTATGTGAGGGTTTTTTTTTTAGCTCAGCCTATGTGAATTTATCATGTTATTTTTATTTCAGTGCCCCCCCTAACTTTTTAAAAGGCCCCCCAAATGAAAAAAAATCCTGGCTACAGGCCTGCTCCCATCCAAATACTTGCCAGGGTCGGCCCTGCTTAGCTTCTGAGACCTGAAGAGATCAGGCTTGCCCGGACTACACCAACAAGATAAGGCATTTGACAATGGAAACGTTGACTCTCAAAAGCTCATAGCTCAAAAAACCTTGTTCATCTATAAGCTGCAACTGCTGTTCTATCACCGACCAACATGGCTGCCCTCTGAAACTCTCTCCCTCAGTTTTGTTCATTATAGTGACAGGATCATGTTATTGCTCTGGAAACACAGTAGGATCCTTCAAGGCTGATGCCCAATGTTGAAACATGGAACTGAACCCAACTGTTTACTCTGCTAATGGTGATGGTGGTGGAAAGTGCCATCAAGTGACAGCTGACTTATCGTGGCACCGTGGGGTTTTCAAGGCAAAAGGCATTCAGAGGTGGTTTGCCATTGCCTGCCTCTGCATTACAATCCTGGTATTACTTGGAGGGTCTCCCATCCATATACTAGCTAGCCAGGACCCACCATGCTTAACTTCCAAGATCTGATGAGATAGAGCTAGCCTGGGGTATCTAGGTCAGGACAGCTAATGGTGAGGCCTTCCTCTGTTGCAAGGAGCCTGGTGGGAAGAGTAGTCTTCCTGGTGGAAAACTTCTTGCTCCACCACCAGTCAACTGGAAACTCTGGATGTGGACCCAAATTAAGCTTGTTGGGACTGCATCTGCATATCATCCGATATTGTGCAATCTTTGCAGCATGGCAGCTTTTTCACGATTAGATTTTCCCGTGTGGACAAGACAACCCAGTTGCCAATGACTTCTGTGCCCCAATGACAACACAGCATCCAACCATGTATGGTTGTGGCCTTGGTATTTATATCAGCCCACTCATGGAAGTAGCTGCTGCTGCATCTTCTGTGAGAAAGATTCTCAGGCACTGTATTATGTACTCAGGGATTCTTTTTGCAGTGAGCTAGTAGTCATTTGTACGTCACCAAACCTGGGTCAGAATGGAAGAGTCATGTTTAAATAAGACACAGCACACTGGTGTTCTATTCACACTGATCCTTCATTAAATTCCTCCATTAGTGAACTGTGAGTTTGATTGCCTTTTCATTTATATTTCTGTGGTTTGCAGGGGTCATTTCCTGCAGGAGCGCACAGGAGCGAAGCTCCGGCAGTAAAGAGCCCAGGGGGCGGGCACATGCAACAAGCCCCACCCCCTGCTCCCAGCAGCCCTGGGTGGGGGCTTGATTAGGGGGGTGGGAGAGCCTCCCTCCCTCCCCCCATCTGTTTGCCCTCTTTCTTTCTTTCCCTCCTTCTTTCCTTCTCTTTCTTTCCCTTTCTTTCTGTCCTTTTTCCTTCTTTCTTTCTTTCCCTTCTTCTTTCCTTCTCTCTCTCTTTCTTTCTGTCCTTTTTTCCTTCTCTCTTTCTTTCTTTCCCTCCTTATTCCCTTCTCTCCCTCTTTCCTTCCTTCCCCTTCCTTCCTTCCTTCCTTCCTTCCTTTCTTCCTTAGGAGATTGCACTGCTTTCCCACACCTTCCTTCCTTCCTTCCTTCCTTCCTTCCTTCCTTCCTTCCTTCCATCCCTTTCCCTCCTTATTTCCTTCTCTCCCTCTTTCAGTGGCATATGCAAATAAGTTATGCTAATGAGTTATGCTAATGAGCTCCTGCACCTCTTTTTCTACTAAATGACCCCTTGTGGTTTGGATCCTATGAGTGAGTTCTGTGCATACTAGATAGTCTCTCGCATGGAGCATGTGTTCTCTCTTGTTCTATTACTGTACGAGATCAACAGCTTTCAATGAACCCAAGTGAAAATGAAAGTGCTTTTACAGAATTTATCTGTAAAATCAAAGCCATTACTTTTTGACTTTTAATATAAAAAATAACAGCAGGTTATTAAGTACACACATTTCTCAGTATCCCATTCCCATTCCTTCTCTCAGGACACAGTCCCCAATATTGCTGTCTTGGGATCAGGAGGAGGTTTGCGGGCCATGCTTGCCCTTTGTGGGACACTGGTGGAGTTGCAGGAACAAAATCTCTTAGATTGTATTATGTACCTGAGTGGTGTTTCGGGTTCTGCCTGGTAAGTAGATGATGGTAGTAAAGAGAAAACATATTTCCCCCCTTTGGGGGGTCAGACCAAGTTTCACTTTATCCGGCATTCTGCTACTGCAAGCACTCTCTGCACATGGATGTGCCAGTTGGGTATTCTGCCACTTGATTTTTTTTGGTAGCGTTAATGATCACTGAACTTTTTATGAGGATTCTAGAGGCCTAATTGCTCAATCACTGAGAAATTCTTCCTTACAGGACACTGAACCCAAACATCTTATTTATACGTTAAGCATTCATTTTAAATTATAATACTTATTAACTAGAGTTTGTTGATGTTCATTCTGATTCAGTATTTATTTTATAAAAAGAAAAGGTGCTGATACTCATAGAAGGTTACATTGATTTCTACCCTCGGGAATTGGGAGGGCCCCCCAAAAGGTGCTGGTACTCCATTCCAGTGAGTACTGCCACACAAAAAACCCAACAACCCTCTGTTGAGTTTTTGTTGTTGTTGTTTCATTCATTCATAGACCTTTATTGGCATAAGGTATATAAAACATTGTATCGTACTATTAAAATCTAAGGCCCCGGTCACACCGCAGGAAAAGCCGGGGCAGAAGTGCAGCTTTTTAGAGCCGCAGCAAAAGAGAAGCGCGGCAGCGGGATCAAACAGATCCCCCGAGGCGCTGCGCATATGCTCCCCCGAGTGATCAGATGCGAGGGGGAAGCCACGGACAGGAGAGCGAGGCGAGTCAGCTGCGCATGTGTGCGCCTGTGCAGTTCGGCAGGGGGCCTCGCATGCTGTGGGAGACGGGTGCATCGGCAATCACACAGCTGCCTGTGCTGCAGATTTTCCAGTAGGTAGTAGGTTGGCATCTGATCACGCTGGTTTAATCTGCCCTCAATCCGTCGATTCCGCAGGGCAATTCCTCCCGTGTGAATCCTAAAATTCCATACAAATTTAGTACAATCAAAATAGTACTATCTAAAATTTTGTACCTTAAGAACTTCGGTAAGAAACTTGTTGTTCTTGTTGTTGCTGCCTATGAATCAAAAGCTGAAATTAAATGGGAAAATTACCTCTAAGCAACATTCAGGATTCCTCACAAGGACTAAAAAAATCAATAAATCCAGGTAAAGATTGTGGGTTAAATCCACTGTTAATACTCGTCTTATTTGTTTAGATATTTATATCCAGTTTTTTCTTTCTTTCAATGGTGACATTAAGTCAGCATAGTTCTCCCCTTCTCCCAGCTTCACCTCAGCATCCTTGTAGGCTTGCCAAGTCCCCACAGGGGGGCGGGGAAAACCCCGCCCCAGAAGCCCGATTCCTGCCGCCGGTGGATTGGGCCCCGGGGGGAACCCCACCCCCAAAGCACGGGACATGCCTGGCATCAGCACGTCGGGCATGCTGGGGGCGGGGCCACAGTCATCCAAGGGAAAACTCTATGTTTTTCCCTCGGATGACCACAGCCCCACCCCCGGTGCGCCTGACACGCCCGCGTCACTTCCAGGTGACGTGTTTGCAGTGTGGGCGCGCTTTGCGCATGCGCGGGTGCTCCCAGAGCAAGGTGGGAGTCCCCCACTGCAGCTTAAGGTAGGACTTGGCAACCCTACATCCTTGTGAGGTGGATTAGGGTAAGACACAGTGACCCATTCAAGGTCACCCAGCACACTTCCATAGCAGAGTGGGGATTTAGAGCTGGGTCTTACAAACTCTAGTTCAACATCATTTCAGCCATATTTGTTCTTTTTCCACTAAAAGGTGTATGTCATCCTTCTACAAAACTGAGAACTGGGCAGAAAGATTAAAGGAGATGGAAAAACATCAGTGTGAAACCCTGACCCAAAGCGAGTTTGATTTTGAGGCAGCAGCAAAAGCTGTGCTGGATGCTGCAAGTGATGAGAATTACTCTCTGACTGATTTCTGGGCTTATTTTATTGTGCACAAAATGGTAAAGCAGGTGAGTGTGGGGGAAGTGTTTGCTGAAGGTCTTGTGTACCTTGAACAAGAATATGGAAAGAGCTGATATATTAGCAGTTACTAGTAAAGGCAATGGTTTCCCTTGCTCGAAAGCCAGTTGAATCCGACTCTAGGGGGTAGTGCTCATCTCCGTTTCCAAGCTTGAAGAGCCAGTGCTGTCCGAAGACTTTTCCGTGGTCAAGTGACTGGCATGACTAAACACTGAGGTGCACGGAACGCTGTTACCTTCCCACTGAAGCAGTACCTATTTATCTACTTGCATTTTCTTGCTTTCGAACTACTAGGTTGGCAGGAACTGGGGCCAGAGATGGGAGCTCAATCCATCACCTTCCGGTCTGCAGCTCAGCGTCTTAACCTCCGAGCCACTGCAGCCCCTTAGCAGCGACTATGAACAAGCTAACAAAGTTTGAGTCCCGTGGCACATTTCAGACCAACAAAGTTTAATTCTGGGTGTGCCTGCACACTTCCTCAGCCATTACATATAGGTGTGAGGGGTGTTAATTGCCAAAAGGGGCTAATTAGAGTCAAGATGTATAAGTATCCGAGTGATAAGCATAGCTAAGACTGGATTAAAGTAGTTGGTAAGATCTGTGAATAGCAGCAAAATTAGCATACAGGTGATAAAAGAGTTAACAAATAGGTGTGAGGACTACATTTGAATCACAGGCCTAACCAATCCAATCTTGGCTATACTTCTCTCAGTTACTTATGCATCTAGATTTTAATTAGCCCTTCCTGGCAACTAACCACCCTCACTCTCTCTCCCCCTATATATAATGGTTGAGGAAGTCTTGTTTCAATGTATCTGAAGAAGTGTGCATGCACACAAAAGCTTATACCCAGAATTAAACTTTGTTGGCCTTCAGGGGGCCGCTGGGCTCAAACTTTGTTCTGTTGCTTCAGACCAATACAGCTGCCCATCTGAATCTAAAAACAACCTAGACAGTAACATTTCCCCAAAGTTCTATAGCAGCTTCTCAAATGTCATATGAGATGTATACAGCCATACATACAACCAAAGTAACAAAATGAGGCCCCGGTCACATGGGCCGGAAAACGCGGGTGGGGGGGGGACGTGGTTGTTTGACCCGGAGCAAACTAACACACTGCCGCCGGATCACACGTCCTGCCGACGTCCTGTGGTTTGGGGGGAGGTGCCGATCACACGACAATCCTGCGGCGTGGCAAAGAAGCGGCGCGGCGAGATCACAGCAGCAATGGCTAGGCGCTGCTGCAGTGGCAAACAGGGTTGTTGTTGTTGTTTTTACCAAAGTGTGTGCATGCGCCGTTGGGTGCTTGTGCACATCCCGTGGAGACTTGGGGAAAAAAAAAAACCTTTTTGCAAAGGGACATGAGCGGGCACTGGATGCCACGAACTTCCACCGGAAACGTGATCAGACGCCCACCCTTGCCCCGCAGTTTCCGGAAACTAGTACCTTGGAGGTACTATTTTTTTACGCCGCATCTTCGGCGGGAAGCCTCGGGTTAGCCATGGGAGTTCTACGCTTTCCAGATGTTGCGGTGTGATCGCGCCTGGAAAATCCGCCTATCTTCCATCTCTGTAGTGTGACTAATGCTCCATGTGACCGCAGCCTGAGGTGAGTTCTTTACCTCAAAGCCGAAGAGCCAGTGCTACTGGGGACCAGAAAGGGGGGTGAATCCAACCAGAGTCCTCATTCCAGATCCTGTTTGGTAGTCAAAGGGAATTCTTCCCTCCCTTTTCTATCAACAGAGAAGTTAGATGGCTCCAACTCAAAACTTCTTTGAGGGTCAGTTTGGCCCACAGATTACCAGTTGTTCATCCGTAACACCCTTCTATTCAAGATGTCAGGATAACAGACTCTACTTTCCTTAAAAGAGCCAGTGATATGGTGAGCACAGGCTTTTTTAAAAAGTCAGAAAAGCAGAAGCTGAATCCAAACTAGATGGCGTTGAGGTTGGTCGGGAGGCTAAGACCCTGAAGGTTGTTATGCTCGCCATATATGATGGGGTACAGTTGGCCCTGGCTGACTCAGTTTGAGGCTTATCCCAAGCCAACATTTGAAAAGTTATCCTCCATCTCTGTGTGACACACTCTGCGAGTAGCTGCCCTTATTGACAACTTGAAATTTTCGTTTAGTACAAAATAGATCAGTGCGGTTATGAGTTGGGATTACCTGCAGTGCATTCTGACCTGGATGACCCAGGCTAGCTCGATCTCATCAGAGCTTGGAAGAGAAGCAGGGTTGGCCCTAGCTAGCACTTGGGTGGGAGATCACTGAGTAAGTCCATGGTGGCTACACATAGGCAGGCAGTAACAAAGCACCATGGAGTTGCGGTGGCTCAAGTAGTTAAGACCCTGAAATGCAGGCTATGGAAGGTCGGTAGTTCAGCAGTTTGAGACCTGGATGCCACATGACGAAGTGAGCTCCCGTCTCTAGTTCCAGCTCCTGCCAACCTAGCAGTTCGAAAGCAAGAAATTGCAAGTAGATAAATAGGTACCACTTCAGTGGGAAGGTAACAGCGTTCCGTGCGCCTTGGTGTTTAGTCATGCCGGCCACATGACCACGGAAACGTCTTCGGACAGCACTGGCTCTTCGGCTTTGAAACGGCTTTGAAACGGAGATGAGCACTGCAACCCTAGAGTCGGATCCGACTGGCTTTTGAGCAAGGGAACCTTTACCTTTACTTAACAAAGCACCTCTGTTCTTGCCTTGAAAAACTTATGGGGTTGCTGTATGTCAGTTGTGACACCTCCTACCACCAACTGTATTGCACACCAGACCTATTCTGAAAGATCGATACTGGTTGCTTGTTCAGTTCAAGGTGCATGTTATTATCAGGAAAGTCTTTCATGCCCTGGGGCTCTGTGGGACCATCCCTTCCAACGTGCTTCACTCTGCCAACCAACCTTAGTTGTTGGTTCCACTGTATAGGCAAGTGAAGAAAACTGCCCAGGCTGATTGCATGAAGCTGAATAGTTGAGGCTTGCTCCTTCATATAGGATTGGGCATGTTGATTGTTCATCTTTTAGTTCTGGGTTTATGGTTATGAGAACACCAATCTCATGGTATTATGGGGAATTGTCTTGCCTAATGAACAGCTGTTGATGTTTTAATGCATATTATGATGCATCTTGAGTTCCGGGCAGGGAGAAAGGTGGAGAAATGACCTAACTAAATGAATAAACAGAACATATGCATTTTCAGTTGGATGAGACCACATTGTCTGAACAAAGGAGATCTTCTGAGAGTGGGAAAAATCCTTATCCTGTTTATGCAGCTGTGAACAGTGACACATTCGAGGAAGACCTTGCAGGTAATGCAGACTCACCCCTTGTCTAGAACTTGATAAGGGCCAAGCCGGAATCTAGGTCTCTAGAAGACTGAACTGCTTAAGCGTGCAGATAGGTAAGGGACTGTGGACATAACTTTCCCCAACCCAATCCCACACAAAGATAAATAACATTGTGGCAAGACTGCATTTTGATTTGCACAGCTCATAATCAAAGGAGCCAGTTTGGTGCAGTGGTTCAGTGAGCAGACTCTAATCTGGGAGAACCGGGTTTGATTCCCCACTCCTCCAATTGCAGGTGCTGGATGACCTTGGGCAAGCCATAGTTCTGTCAGAGCTCTCCTCTCAAGGACAGTTCCTGTCAGAGCTCTCTCAGCCCCACCTATCTCACAGGGTGCCTGTTATGGGGAGGGGAAGGGAAAGGAGTTCGTAAGCCGCTCTGAGACTCTGATTGAATGGCGGGGTATAAATCCAATCTCTTCCTCCTCCTCCTCCTCTGTTCCCCACCCCCACTATTTGCAATAGAAGCTAAGGATGCATTTTTGTGGCTAGCATAACTCATTAGAAAACAAACCATGGACTCCCCCTCCCATGCGTTCAATTATATTCCAAAACCAAGGACATGGTTTCCCCTGCAGGAAATCACATGGAGGCAGGGGTACTGCCAGTGCACTTGCTCTTACTCTCCCTCCCTGTGCATTCAGTGAACCCCTGGGGTTGATCTGAACCAATGCTCCCTCTAAACTGTGGAGCCTTGTGAGCAAAATTTCTACTTTGTGAGCTACTGGCATTAAAGTTGTGAGCGAGCGATTTGGCGACTGCATACATTGGCTTGCTCTGGAGCCATCCTTCCTGAGCTAAGACGGAAATGTGTGAGTCGGGGGCTCAAAAACTGTGAGCTGGCTCACACTAACTCAGCTTAAGAACATAAGAACATAAGAGACACCAGTGTTGGATCAGGCCAAAGGCCCATCCAGTCCAACACTCTGTGTCACACAGTGGCCAGAAATACCAGTGCCATCAGGAGGTCCAGCAGTGAGGCCAGGACATTAGAAGCCCTCCCACTGTTGACCCCCCCCAAGCACCAAGAAGACAGAGCATCACTTGTCCCAGAGCCCCTATCTATACCTTGTGGCTAATAGCCACTGATGGACCTCTGCTCCATATGTTTATCTAATTCCCTTTTGAAGCCGTCCATGCTTGTAGCCGCCACCACCTTTTGTGGCAGTGAATTCCACTTGTTAATCACTCTTTGGGTGAAGAAGTACTTCCTTTTATCCATTCTAACCCGACCACTCAGCAATTTCATAGAGGGCCCACGAGTTCTTGTATTGTGAGAAAGGGAGAAAAGTACCTCTTTCTTTACCTGCTCTTTCCCATGCATAATCTTATAAACCTCGATCATGTCACCCCTCAGTCGTCTTTTCTCCAAGCTAAAGAGCCCTAAGCGCTTTAACCTTTCCTCATAGGGAAAGTGTTCCAACCCTTTTATCATTCGAGTTGCCCTTTTCTGCACTTTTTCCAAAGCTATAATATCCTTTTTAAGGTGTGGTGACCAGAACTGCACACAGTATTCCAAATGAGGTCGCACCATTGATTTATATAGCGGCATTATGATATTGGCTGATCTGTTTACAATACCCTTCCTAATAATCCCCAGCATAGCATTGGCCTTCTTTATTGCAGTCACACACTGTCTCGACATTTTCAGTGAGTTATCCACTACAACTCCAAGATCTCTCTCTTGCTCAGTCTCTGCCAGTTCAGACCCCATCAATGTGTATTTATATTTAGGATTTTTGGCTCCAATGTGCATCACCTTGCACTTGGCCACATTGAACCCCATTTGCCATGTTGACGCCCACTCGCCCATCCTTGACAGATCCCCTTGGAGTGCCTCACAATCCTCACTGGTTTTCACCACCCCGAACAACTTTGTATCATCCGCAAATTTAGCCACTTCACTGCTTACTCCCATCTCCAAATCATTAATGAACAAGTTAAAAAGCAGTGGACCAAGTACTGATCCCTGCGGTACCCCACTGCTTACCACCCTCCACTGAGAAAATTGCCCACCTACACTCACTCTCTGTTTTCTATGAACTAGCCAGTTTTTGATCCATAAAAGGACTTGTCCTTCTATCCCATGATTTTTGAGCTTACTTAGGAGCCTTTGATGAGGAACTTTATCAAAAGCTTTCTGGAAGTCAAGGTAAATAATATCTATTGGATCCCCCTTGTCCACATGTTTGTTCACCCCCTCAAAGAACACTAACAGGTTAGTGAGACAAGATCTTCCCTTACAGAACCCATGTTGAGTCTGCCTCAATAGGTTTTGTTCATCTATGTGCCTACTAATTCTTTCCTTAATAATGGTTTCCACCAATTTACCCGGTATCGACGTCAGACTGACTGGCCTGTAATTTCCCGGATCTCCTCTGGAACCCTTTTTAAAGATGGGAGTGACATTAGCTACCTTCCAATCCTCAGGAATGGAGGCAGACTCGGTGCATATATAGATACCAAATACTTTGGGTGTTTATTTGAAAATGGGCAAATGGTTGAAGAGAAGGAGGAGAAAAATATCTGCTATCTTCAGGGTACATCTTTTGCATTTCGCTTCTTGACAGCCTGGTATTTTCTGCCTGGCAGAAAACTCTATGCAGGTTTTGGCAAGATAACAGAATCAGTGTTTGCATGATTAACCACAGGTGTGTGGGAGACATATAAAGCCTATGGGCTCCACTGTATATTAAAAAATGTGCACATCAAATGAACAACCACTCCCTTATGAGCTGCACTGGAGTGCAAGATAAGACAGAAGGCTCCAGTGATAACAAAAACGTGGGGGCATTTATATTCAGGGAGATGATGGGAGAATGTTATGATGCTTAAAACTTCCCTTTCTCTGTATTGACAGGACCATTTCAGAGGTGCAGCTTTTAAGTCCTATTAAAATAAGATTTTCACTCTGGTCTTTCTAGGGTTGCCAGGTCCCCTGTTAGCCACTGGCAGGGGATGGGGGACAGTAGGATTGCCAAATCCAAGCTGGGAAACTCCTGGATATTTGGGGATGGATCTTGGAAAGGACAGGGATCTAAGTGGAGTACAACGCCATAGAGTCCACCCTCCAAAGCATTCATTTTCTCTGGAGGAACTGATCTCCATAGTCTGGAGATGAGTCTGGAGATCAGCTCTAATTCCAGGGGATCCTCAGATGTAATTCTGGGGGATCCCCCAGTCATCAGGAGAAATATAGATCTAATCACACCTTTTTTCCCCTTTGTTTTCAGGTTTATGGGGAAGTGCCATTGCCAGCAAGCAGGACACGAAAAAGAGAATATATGGTACTGCTCTTTCGGTTTCCTGAATCAGAGAACATCAGATTCTTGGGCTTGTCTCTTTAAAGGCCATGTATATAGAGAGGATGATATTTACTCACTAGATAGGGGCCCAAGGACTCATGCATGTCTCCAGAGCAGTGTTCCCTCTAAGCTGAGTTGGTGTGAGCTAGCTCACAGGTTTTTAGCCTATGACTCACACATTTTTGTATTAGCTCAGGAAGGATGGCTCCAAAGCAAACTAATTTATGCAGCAGCCACATCTCCTGCTCACAATGTTAATGCCAGTAGCTCAAAAAGTAGAATTTTTGCTCACAGAGCTCCATAGCTTGCAGGGAACATTGCTCCAGAGTCCTGTTCAAGGCAGCTTACTAGTAAAAACAATGCCACAAAATCACAATTTTTCAATATACAAACCAAATCAAGCCATCAAAAACAAACCATTGGCAGAAAAGCACCCCAAAACATTGAGTACCCTAAAACATACTGGCAAAGAAGACATCAGACCAGAATCACACCATTGAAACAGTTAAAAAGATAAAGCCCATTTGTTAAAAGTTTGGGTACAATGGGATGTTTTGGCTTGGCACCTAAAAGACTGTATGGCAGGTGTCAGGCAAGTCTCAAGGGGGAAGGCACTTCAAGAATCAGGTGCCACCACAGAAAATGCCCTGTTTCTGGTTGCCACCCATGAACCATGAAGCTACCTTATAGACTGAGGTCACATGAGCAGTTTGCGCTAATACAGTCACATTACCTTTGTGGATTTAAAGAGCACAATCAGGCAACAACATCTGCCTTCCATGCCCCAGTTGTTGGCACCCCACTTTGCCTTGCTTTGGAAGGTGATCAGGCACCGGGGAAAGTCCGGTATTTAGGGATGCCAGCAATTATACTCCTTGTTTCCGGCTGTCTGAACTCCCCTCTTGTGAAATCAAGCTGTTTGGGAAGTCTGAACCTTCCCATTTCCATCTCCTTTTTTTGAACAGGTAGCGATGTTCACATAAGCACATAATTACCACTGGTGTTGTCAATCACCTTGTCCAAGTAGTCATTCTGGATTGGGAGTTCCCAGAGAAGTTGTTTTCGAGTGACAACCCCCCCCCAAAAAAACCCCACTTTCTCCTGTTCCTGCCTCAGAGTCTGAGAGCATCCCATGATTGACACAATGGTAAATGCTCTGAAATCAATGGGGCTACTCTCATGTAAATCTGAACTTTACCCCCCCATGTATTCCACAGAAGAGAGGTGAAGGGAAGGAGGCTGAGAGGGGTGAGAGTACTTGGCAGAGAGATTACGGAGCTGTCAGAAAGGAACTGGAGCTTTGGATACACGTTTATGCACATGGGTGAAAGTAAAAAAAAAAAAAGAATGCTGCAGCAATGATGGACCATGGGGCTAGCACTCAGTGATGCCGATTCAGGGTGGGATATCTGATTAAAACTTCCTGCAACTATTTAAACCACCACAAACAGAGGTGCAGCCAGATCACACAAGCCTCCAGTGTGACTGTAGCCATACTGAATCAGAACCTTCGTCCATCAAAGTCAGTCTTGTCTTCTCCAACTGGCAGCAGCTCTCCACGGTATCCGGCAGAGTACTTTCACATCACCTACTGCCGTATCTTTATTAACTGGAGATACTGGGGATTGAACGTTGGACTTTCTGCATGCCAAACAGATG